TCATGAGAAACAGAAAATACAACCAACTTCCAAGATTGAACTTTGAAGGTGTGGAAAAACATCCCTGTGGATTTCTTTAAAAGACTGAGTCTCCTGAAAAGAATGTAAGCTATAATAAATGCAAAGAGTGAACACACTAAATACTGAAAAAAATTATATTATATTTAGATGGTGAGGCTTCTGTGTAATTTTCTATTAAATATAGGTTTTCTTTTTTTCCTGATGCTGAAAAATGAATAACTTGTCATTAATGGCTGTTTTGACACAAAATTAAACAAATGAAGGGTGGCCTCTTACTTTTCCACAGTACTGTATCAATATTAAATGAATAGTTGAGGTAACAAAGTCCATATATACTAACAGCACTTGATGAAATGGAAATGCATGGCATGATTACATTAAGCTTATACAATGATCTATTTTTATTGTATAGCCACATATTCATCACATGTTAAACTCAGTGTTCTCAGTAACTGCTAGTAGTAGATTGAAGATTGAGTTGTACTGGCCTTCCACTTCTGTGTCTCTGCAGACAGACACACCCTCGATGTCTCTGTTTAATCTGGCTACACATATCAAGGCTGAGTTAAAGTGGAAAGTTCACACTCACGCACACTGTCTGTGTAGGTGGTGCTTATTTGGTAGTGCAGTAAGGAGATATAAACAGTTGAGAGGATGTGAGGTCATTGAGAAGCATTTCAGGTGCTTTATGAAGTGTTCTGTAGTTCCGCTGACCGTTCGGAGCTGGTCAAAATTCTCAGACATGCACACATAGACAATGGAGAGATATCTGAACTACTGAAAAAAACGGCTTATTATTCAGATATTAATCTTAAGATTTATTATTCAGTAACTACTATCCTTGCTCTGCCCACAAATGTGTTCCTTAATAGCAACTGTTGCTAGGTTGGTTGAGCTTTATAGAGCATAGTCCAGTTCATCCTATTGAAAAATTGTAGCACATGACTCTGGGCCGAACATACAGGCCACAATGCGCCTGAAATAAACTGATCTTATAAGACTGCAGCTTTAATCATGCCAATGCTCAAAGCCCTGCCCTCTAAATGCTTGCCAATGAGGTACTATGTTTAAAAATGACAAATAGTGGAAATAATGGAGCCATCGACAAGCTTGAGACAAAATAGAAAATAAAAGTTCAGTGATGAAAGAAATAGTGGTGTTAATAAATGATGTTCTTTTCCACCAATAAACAGTTTTAACAGGGATGCAACATGGCATATTTTGCGTCACATCTTCTCACATATGTACCTTGATCTTAAGATTTTAACAGTGTTATTCTGATGGTAAATGTCCTTTCACTGCATGTTCGAGACTTGTTCCTCTGTCTAGACACTGTGTCTACTGCAGTTGTTAAAGGAAGTCTCCCAACATATCTTTTGAGGCCCTCACACAAGTTACACCTGGTTTTAAAAGATGGAGGAAAATCCATGCAAAACTGGCCACCACTGGTTTCTCAAAGTATGACTCTGATTGGTGTAATAAGCTGCATATGTAATATCTCCACCCACTTCTTGCATGATCCTCTTACTTCTTGCAGGACCCTCATGCACGAAGAAGAGGAGTGCATTTGCATGGCCTGTAAAGTATGTATTTAGGCTTATGCACCAGTTTCGCATTGAACATGAAGACAGAATGTGCCTGATTTGCATCTGAAACTGTTGCAAAAGGCTGCATTATTAATGAAGTTGGCTTGAAAAGGTTGTTTGCTTATTATTACTCTATGATCAAAAAATTTGTAACGCTACTTGTCCTACAGCTTTGTGCTTGAACCGTAAAATTTTGCAGAACCGTAGACTCTGTAATCAAATAGGTTGCTTGTGCCTTTTTAACTGATTCAAATTATAGTCATTGTACAGCGTCTGTTCATCCATCACTGGTTCTTTCAACTATAAAATGTGTGACATATATTATATATAATATACAATGCTTACACCTCTATCTCTTTTTCCACCACAGTCAGTATACACTCTGTTCCAAATGTTTTGGACACTTTTCTTACATCACCATCATACAAATATGCTAGTAACACCTTAGCAACCACCTGGAATAGCATAGTAATGGCCAAGCCACACCTTAGCAACCACCTGGGATACCAACCCCCTAACAACAACCACGCAACACCTTAACAACAAGATGGAATACCATGGAAACCTCATAGCAACAGCACAGCGACTACCTGGAATTACTATTTAAATCCAATAAAGTTATCAAAAACACTGAACAGTGTTTTGCAACTGCTTTAACTTTTGAAGTGTTATCAGCTGGTTTTGTCATGCCAACTTAGTTCATTCACTAACTTTCACTTTTTGGTTTCAAATTCTTCTGGTTTTGATTAGCTACGCAACGTAGTCCAGTTTGGTAGCGTAGCAGTAGCACAGCATAGTGTAAACTGGAAAGTTAAAGTTATATAGTTCAATCTTGCAACAGTATGAAACTTTTTTGTATTTTTAGGCAAAACATGGATGGGTCAATTGTTTGGTGACTTCTATGAAACGAATATGTAACTTATGCAGATATGAGAATGAGGAATTGAAGTACAGGCCTGCATACAGACCCAAGTGGTTTAGGACCACGGTGGTAGGTCATTTCAGCTAGACTGCCAGCACTTACTGACCTCTTGTCAGGAGTTAGCATGGTTTATATTGTTGTCTTTACCTCTCAGTGAAAGTGAAATCAAAGTTAAGGAATAGGACTCAATCAAGCACTGAATGGGTCTCATTAAGATGACAGTGGAGTCTCCCTCTCCCTCTGCTGTAGACTCTCTCTGAGCGCTTTGATCTGCTGCCACTCTAATGATCCAAAGCCTGACTTCAGATCTCAATAAAGGCCACTTTAATACCCATTTAACTTCCCTTTTAATTAACACGCAGAGCTCAGAGTGGCTGTGAAGATGTGAGGGAGAGGCAGAAACAAAAGCGCTACAGCAGCTGTGGAGGGCTGAGAGCAGCTCGTGCCAGAGTGAAGTGTGTGTACTGATCTGTGCTCCTCAAAGCCTCTCTTCATTCAGCCTGGACGCTCCAGCACAGAGCTGCTGGCCACGGCGGAGTTCCCACCCCGATCTACCGGATACCAAACCCCTACACATACATACACACCATACACACACGCGCGCTCAAACTGCTGGGCGGAAACGTGTTTAATGGAGGGGGAGGGACAGAGAGAGAGAGAGAGATAGAGTGAGAGAGAGAGGAATTTCAGCTGAATAGCACTGTGGAAGCATTGTACACTGGCTACCTTTTTTCTTTCTCTCTCCATTTTCCTCCTTCTCTCTCTCTCTCTCTGTCTCTCTCTCCCTCCCTTTCCTTTCCTCTTTCTCCTTCTCCGTCTCTCTTCGTCTACCCCTCAGCCTCTCTCTCTTTCTACTTATTTTCTTCTTTCTTTCTCTCTCCCTTCCTTTTACCTCTTTTTCTCTCTCTCCCTTTTTCTACACCCCTTCCCCTCCCTCTTTCCTTCTCTCCATCCTTCTGTCTTTCTCTCCTTCTAGTTCTCTTTCATACCCTCCTTCCCTTATTCTTGCTCATTCTCCCTCTCTCACTCTCCCTCTTTCCCTCCTTTTCTCTCTCTTTCTCCTAATGTTCCTCTCCTTTTCTCTCCCACCCTCATTCCCCTCTTTCTCTATTTCTTTCTCCTTCTCTTCCTCTCTTTATTTTCCCTCTCCCTCTCTCTCTCCCTCCCTTATTCCCCCTCTCTCCATCTTTCTCTCCTTTCCTTCCTCTTTTTCTCTCTATGTTCTGCTCCTTCTCTTTCTCCTACCCTCTTTCCCCTCTTTTTCTCTCTCTCTTTCTCCTTTCTCTTCCTCTCTTTATTCGCCCTCTCCCTCCCTCTTTCCTCTCTCTCTCTCCCTCCCTCATTCCCCTCTCTCTCCCTCTCCCTCCGTCTCCCCTCCTCCTCATCCCCTCTCTATTGCTCTTTATCTCCTGTTTCCTTCTCTCTTTTTCTTTTTATTTCTCTCTGCCCCTCTCTCTCTGAAAGCAGAATGTAAGGGTGAATGCTGAATGAGTCTTTCTTCTGCCACCTCTCTCACCTTAACTCCACTTCTAACGGCAAAGCTTACACACCTACATGTCACACACACACCCACACCAGCCGAATGCTTACCTAAAAAGCCCACCTAAGACTTTCATCACAAACCACTCACTGGCACTTTATTTTTCAACATTGCAAAATTGCAGACTTCAGTTCTTCACCGTCATCACTACATAATGTACTAGTTTCATAATAGTTACTGAATAATTAGCCTGGAGTTTAAAGGGTTAATCTGGAGTGAGTACACTGGGCTCAATGCATCTCAATAACCAGTTGAACTCCATAGACCCACTTCAATTCACTCCCATAACTTACAGATTAGTTTCATAATAGCTATTTAACACAATTTGTACTACACTTTCAGGATGTCTTCAGTTAGGGAGCATAACTGTACTGTATTTCATTGCAGTCACTGTTTTTTAAGTAGCATTGCCTCTTTTTATTAGGCTTAGGCTTTTTATTTATGTTTCTATTTTAAAACATCTCAAATATACACATATTTAAGTTGCACGATTGGACCTTAAGGACCATTCTTGTACCTTTGACGGTACATTTACATTGCTTGTACCTTCATGAACGAAATATAGCTGTACAGTAACTATTTATCTGAGAATAGTGAGCCTTAAGATTAATCACTGAATAATAAGCCCTTGAGTTTAAGTGTGTAAGTGATGATGCTGACATTTCATACAGCATTACCATCACATTCACACACACACACAGGCATGCAGCCTCCTGTCTGTACTCCATTCATACTTCACATGACTCAGCCGCCTCACACAGCCACACTTTTAAAGGTCAGAATGTGCAGATGTGACTTATTCAGCACAAAGCAATGACACTGAGAAAAGTTTGCAAACTTTCTCAGTGCAGTTTCCGACTGAGCTCAGCGTCATCTGTGTGGCTCTAAGTAGAGGTTATTTCTGGACTGTGGGCTAGTTTAGCTTTCTTACCTCCGTGGCTGGTCTGGGGCAGGCAGAGCAGGGGCAGTAGAGCACACACAAGCAGCCGCAGCGCTTTCATGTTGTCCATGCAGTCCCAGTCTCAGTGTCTAGCTCTCCATTCACAGAGCTCACCCGCGTTTACAGAGTAGACAGTCTGCTCGGGGTGTTCTCATGGAGGGGGCGGATCAGCCAGGCCCCAGAGTGACACCCTGTTCCCCCCCAAAACTGTTCAGAGGGTCCACCCACCGCCCCTACCACACACACCTCTCACACGCACAGCCCTGCCCTACAACGTTTCTGGAGAAGGAGCTGACCAACTTTTTCCCTTTTTCCTCTCTCTCTCTCTCTCTCTCTCTCTCTCTCTCTCTGTCTCTCTCTCTCTCTCTCTCTCAGAGTCAGAATGTCCTCATAAAAAAATCTTATCTCCAAAATGGAAACATTCTAGGAGAAGTAAAAACATACTCTTAACTTGAAAATTAACTCTAAACTTTAATTCATTCATTCAAGGGTTTTCTGGAGCACTTTTAGCTCCCTGAAGCACCCTTAAATTATTCTTTAGAGAATAATTGTTGTAAATGGGATTTGCAGAACCGTTTTTAAAGTTTTTTCAACAGCCACACTGTTAAAATGATTCACTTTTTTGTTTTGCATCTATGTTAGGTAAACAATATAGAAGTTATTATACTCAGTCCCCCAACCAGCTGGGACTCTTTTCATTACACATTCCCGCCAAGCTTTTTCCCCTCTTGGACTCCCAGTTATGGATGGCTGTGACATCACTGGAATTCAAACTCACAACCTTTTAATATCAGGGATGATCCCTAAAAGTGATGTAACAAAGCTAACAGAATTAAGTTAACAGACGAATCATTTGTTATTTGAAGTTAAACGGAAATTTTTAAGTTGAATCATTTTCTTTTATAGTAAGTTGGTTGCACCACATAGGAAGTCAAGAAGTTGCCCAGATTTCTGTCCAGCAGTGTTGAACACAGTATAAAAATGTCTTTGTTTTAACTTTAATAGGTAGCATCTAGTGACATGTAGTGCAACATTCACCCCAACATCAGGAGGCTGTGAGTTTGAACCCCATCAATGCTGTGGTCATGTATTAGTAGGTCCACAAGGCTAGTAGGGGGGGTTGAGTAAACATCAAATTCTATATCGTTTACCTGACTGAGATGCAGAACTAAAGTTGAGTCAAGATGAGTCAAGACAAGAAAGGCTATGCCTTATAATCTTTGATTTGAGCTGAGTTTTAATTTGTTACAGCAGACATAATGTAAAGCTTCAAGGACAAATGCCTTTAGTTGGTGTAGCACATTAACATTATGGGGAGGTTCTTTAAACTCCAGAAAGGCTCTTAATACCTACACTTTTCATTCATTGAAAGGTTTTCAGAAGCATTGCAAGTGCGGTGTAAACAGCAGCTGGAATTTTCAAATAGTGTGGAGAAAAGAACAAGCAAAAAGTTGATCCAGAAGGAAGATATGATATGAGCTAACTCTTCTAATATTCATTCTTTTATTATTACAGGCCACACAATAACTGTGCTGGCAGACAGGTTACATTATTGTTGAACTTCTCATACTTTCACAGAACTGCTGAAGAGTGCAGTAAGAAACAGAGGAGCTGCAAATTGTTGTTTATATATATCTTTATTAAACTATCAGAATAGTGCTCTGTGGCTAAATGGTAAAACGGTTATAGTACCATTAAATACAGTGGGGAAGTGTGAAAGTATTAACCCCTTAAAATCCCAGGCTTAACACATGCTAAGGCTTACTACTCAGCAACTACAGGGACTTCAATGCAAACTGGCTGAGTTATTCTTAGGTAATAGAAGTTTATAATTAAACTTTGGGCCTCCAGTGTGCCATGGCCATTTAAGGGGTTAAATGTGGTTAGCACATTATATGTCACTGTTAAATCTCTATAGATAGATCTGACAACAAGTGAAAACTCATGTTTTCTCTGATTTTAAGCACTTTATTGCTTTCTTAAGATAATGTTTCTTCTTCCTCCATCTGTTCCTTGTTCCTTGTCTTGTTATTCTTTGTCTCCCTTCCTTTTTTTCCTTGTTACTCTTTCCTTTTGTCTGGTTTTGCAAATAATTCATACAGAATCTTATAAAAAATTAAATGTGGAGAAAAATCATATGGATTGTTAGGAAGAATTTCGAATGAAATGAATAAATTCCAAGTAGAAGCCCTACTGCAGAATTAAGCTTAACTGATTGTCAAGCTCCAGGTCACATTAATATGAATTTCTAAGTAAGCAAACTCTTCTCCATTCACAGCGGCCTTCCCCCTCTCCTTCTCTCCCTGCTTTCCTGCTTTTTTTCTCAAATTACACAGTCTGGACACACTTAAAGTTGAAGGACGTCTGCTTCTAAATCCTCACTCTGCTGCTGCTACACTTACACTCCTGCAACTTTAGTTCATTTGCTGTATGGGTTGAAATCTCTGACCAGTGATTGTTAGATTACAAATCTTTAGAAAACAATGCAATGAATCATGAAATCTCAAATTTCACCACGATTTGACTTGATTCTTTTCAATTATTTGGCATGATTTACAATTATTTGAAAAATAGACTGATGAGGCTGGAGGCACTACTTACATATGACTATTATCAATTATAACTGATTCAATATTCCAAAGTGATGCAGTTGAATCATCACCTTCAGACTGATGCATTCTTACATTGCATACTGTTGTTGGTAACGTAATGGAGAATTCCACCAATTTCTTAAAGAATCTGGCATAATTCAATAAAGATGTAAAGAAAAGCATTCAGACTGGTTTGATGTGAAATGCTCCATTCTAGAGTTTTGAAATGGTCCACTGTAGAGAAACTTACCAACACTGATTTCTTTACAGTGGTGATGATAGGACCCAGGAATCACAATGTCTACAATGCATATATAGCCATTTTATTTGCTATACAAAACTACCAGTGAATATAATGTATAATGTTGATGATGGTAAAATAGTGGTACATCTGAAAAGTTTTCTTTGGGGACTCTTTTGCCTTACAACTGCATGTATCTATTCACCATCTATGGATTTCTTAAATCTTAAAACTATCATTAAACAATAGCCCAGACATCAGGCAATATGTTTATTTCATGTAATTACTTTCTGTATTCTAAAGGCATTAAATCTTCAGTTTGATTCCTATCACCATCACTGTAAACATTTTGGCCTAAAGAAGTTTCTCTAGAAGTATTTCACATCAAACCACTCTGAATGAGTTAACAATTGTAATTATGCAGAGGTAATCATTGGTTGAGAGCAGATGCAGTAATATAGAAGATTATATTTGTTTTAGAGATGCCTCCTTCCATGTACAAGTTTTCCAAGAGCAGCTGAATGAAGTTTAGCGTGAAGGACTGAATGTCTGGTTTTTATGTTGCAGTGTTTGTCTAGAGCTGAGAGAGCCAGCGCCAGCTTCACATAAGGGAGACATAGTGCTCAGATTTCACCACCAGTGTCCTGAGCTTCTTCCCTCTTCTGCTGCTTCCGTCCTTCCGATCTGCTTTCGCACCTACAGCACTGATTAATCGCAACACGCACATGTATGTGTGTATGTGTGTGTGTCACTGTATTATTCTTCACCCTTTTTCAGTGCTTAAGAAAAAAAAAAAAACAATCTTTAACAGCTTCCAGATGCTCACAAAGGCTTATTGTCATCCATTCATTTTACCGGTGGCAGTGTGCTTTGTGTGGACAGTTCGGCAGACTGAAATCACCGTGGGCTCAGCAGACATTTCTTCTTGAAAAGGAGAATGTCTCTGGTTACACATATTTACTTTGAGAAGCAAAACAAAGGGAAGGAGACTAAAATTGAATTTCCTGACAAGGTGTTCCAGATTTCAAAGGCCGACGTCTTCGCATTGACCCAGAAAGAATTGGAGAAAAGCCATTCATTCAGGAAACAGCATGGAAAAGTGAAACCAACTAGGAACCACATATATGGCCAGAATACTTTCTGACTGTAATCAGTAAAGAACTGTCTAACCAATAGACAGCATTAGTTTCCCTTAGAGAAGACCATCTGTATTAATTCCAGAGAATGTGTAAGGTGGGGAATTGCCACTCAGTGATGTCTCAGTGTGTCAGTGGGTTTGTCAAACACTAGAGGGCACTACTGAGTGAGTCCAAAATGAATAAGTTCCTGTGAAGCTTTTGTGCACATGCTCCAATTTTCTGAACACAGAACAGCATAAAATATTACAAAACTGCTGTTACATTTTTGAATGCTTGTGAACCCTAGTGACTTTCTAACAGTGCTCGATCTTTAAAGACAGATTTGGAACACTTTTTTAGGAATCATGAACGTATTTATCCTGTTCGTAGCATAGCCGACTGGGAAGAGCTTGATGCTAACAGCAAATGAGCTGCAGAAAGCACTGTGCAGCTGTAGGCTAATTACCTCTAATGTGCTTCTCTGCTGCACAGTCACACAGGCTTTATCAAGGCTCAGATATTTATAGGAGAGGGTGATGGTAATGTTATACCTTCATCATTAGAAGAGAGGGATGTTATTAACAATATGTGTGTGTTCTGTTCTTACTGATCTGTGATATTTTGATTTTTGGGGAATCAGCGGATGAAGTGATGTCATTTTTTTTGTCTTCACAGTCATATGTCCCTGTGTAATTATACTCTCATTAACATGCTCATTGCAATCACATGAAATAATATGTACAGTTGGAGATGGATTTGTGATCCCCTCGTGCTTTGAATTACAATGTGAAATGTGTGTAACCATGTGGCTGAGCAGCCTGTTAAAGGGTTGAAACCTAATCTTAACCCTCACTCTGGCCCTAAACCTAACATGGCTCAGAATGAACTTGACAGTTTGTTAACAATGCACACATCTGGAGATAATCTAGAGGGGGCTACAGTGCTTTTTGTTCTTTTCAAAGTTTTCAAAGTTCATTGTTCATGGTAATCATCGGTATAATAAAGATAGAGACTGAAAACCACTGGAACATTCTCTTACGCTCTTCTGACTAAAACATTACCATTACTTTCTAGCAGGCTGCATCATATACAGCTGCATACAGCTGCATACTCTCATGTCTAGGCCCTGCATGTGTGTGTAAATGTCTATGTAAATGCTTCTGTGACTGTGTTTACATTTTTGTGTACCTCATGCAGCCTCTTCTCCATATAAACTCGCCGTTTCTAAATGACAAACAACATACCACTGATACTATTGC